CATCTTTGTACTCCAGTCCTCTGAAGATGCCGGCCACAGAGACTGGTGAAACGTTTGGAAGAACAACCTTCAGAACACGGCCAAAGAGCCCGAAAAAACCCACAACAACCATTAGATCACAGCCGTGAAAGCCTTCGCGAATACAGTACCTACCAGATAATGTCAGAGTAAATAACTCAGAACGTAGAGTTCCTTTTCCCTCTTAGGTAACCAACCACAGCCAGCCCACTGCAGCTATCTCTACTTGTCTACTTTTAGGTGGCAGTGCCTGGAAGCATTAAAAGAAGAAAAGGGTTCAGAACTGATCGGTGTGGCTGATGTGAAGACATTCCTTCAGGACTGCCAGGATACTTATGGGTTGCTCCAGGACAAGATGATCTATCTTGAAGATTTAGGACATAGGAACAAGCCTACTGTTCTGGAAGCTGAAGCACGCAGGCTCACAGCCTTTGAAAGAGAGATCTTAGCACTGGAGAGAAGAAATGAATACCTTAAGTGTGTTGCCAAATCGTAAGAAATTAGCCCTTTGCTACATCATAATGAATGTCATGGCTGAACAGAGTTTAAATCATAGTGCCTTTTATCTTCATGGGTCAACCACATTGTGGAAATGTCTCCATTTCCAGACAGAAAAATACATATATTTTTCTTTTCACTGAAAGAAACTAAGGGCGTGACTACTCAGTGAGGCAAATGAGAAATAACTCACATTCCATCACTGGGAAGTTGCACTGGGGCATTCAGTTCTCTCCAATATATGTAGCCACACAAACAGAGGAGGAAAAAAAAGCATTTTATTTGCAGTTCCACCTGGAGCATCCATAGGCAGCGCCCTTCAAAGGAGCTGCCATAAAAAGACTTCACTTCCATATCTTATCTTGCTGGCTAAGCTGTTAATAAACAAACAAACAGGGCTGCCCACTGAGGAAAACTTTAAAAAGAAGTGGCTTAGGAGAGGAGAGGCTTCGTAGAGAGAGCTGAGTGCTGGTGCTGTATGTGCATGCGTGCGTGGATCCATGCTCAAGCTCATCCTCCCTTGAGAGGCAAGGGGCCAGGTCCTTTGCCAAAGCACTGCATTGCACATGTGCATGCATGCTTGGTTGGCCTTTCTATAGAATTTATATTGTTTCCAGAAATGTCGTCGTCTTCCAGCAAACCAGAATCATGGTGGTTTGCTTTTGCATGTCTGTCCCCAGGCCTGAACATCACACTCTCCCAACTGCCCACATCGCCTGAAATACCACCTACAGAAATGCCTTCACTCTTTACAAGAACATATCAGCAAGCCCCATAGGGAAAAAATTCATTGGAATCATTCCAGATAGAAAAACTTAGTAGTCCTCCAGCAGCAGGGAAAAACAGCTGCTTTGGAAGGAGAAAGGGCTGGACCATTTTGATTCAGCCTTTGTGTCATGTGGTCAGTAAAAAGTACTTTAAATTCACCACTGTGAACAGCGGAGCAAATCCTGCAGTATTTGATCATGTGGTTGCACTCTAACTTGGCTTTCTTTCTAAACACAGTTTGAAACACATTGAATTAATTGACAGACCTCTGAGTTAACAATACCGTTTACCTGAAAATAAGACTTAACCTGAAAATAAGCACTAGTATGATTTTTCAGGTTGCTCATAATATAAGGCCTAACCCCCACAATAAGCCCCAGTTAAGTGAAACCCCACCCTCTACCAATGTGCTGCCTTCTGCAGCAACCAGAAGAAGTTGACATGACTGTGAAATAAAACATCTCCTGAAAATAAGCCCTAACATGTTTTTGGAGCAAAATTTAATATGAGACCCTGTCTTATTTTCAGGGAAACACTGTATTAATGTGAGACACTGTGTACATTCAGCTAGTTAGTTATGTACTGTCCAGCCAGAACTGGCATAGCATCTCTAATATAGCTTTCAAGGGAAGTGGAATATTTAAGGAGTGTTTTTGCCAGTTCCTCTTGCTCAGTGAGTTTGCATGAATTTGAACCCTTTTCAAGCCCTAGTCCATCACTCTATCCACTACACCGATTTGAACCCTGGTCAAGCCCTAGTCCATCACTGTATCCACTACACCACACTATGTACCTGTACATTCAGCTAAGCATCCTAAAATGACCTTTCTTGATTGAATGCAGTAGAACCTGTTCACCTTGCCTTGTAATGATTTTGATTCCGGTCTAATACTAATTCCAGAATGCATCTGGATTCCTAATGTAGGATCAAGGATACCAATCCTGCTGAAAGCAGGGCCATAAAGGATCAGGTAGAAGACATGGAAGAGCTGCTGTCGTCTCTCAAGTCAAAGGCGGAAGAGAAGGGAAAGACTTTGCAAATGGCGCTGGACCAAGAGGTCTTTCTGCAGGATAGCCGTAGACTTTTGCTGTGGGCAGATGGCATGAAGGAGAAACTGCACAACGAGGAGATGGGTGTAGATGTGGTCTCAGCAGAGCAGTTGCTGAAGGAGCATCAAGACTTGCTGAAGGAGATACGCAGAGAGAACCACAGGTAAAGTCTACTTAGAAACAGATGCTCTGCCAGTAACAAGAACCATAGTGATGGCCACCCAGCTGGAAAACTTTGAAAAGGAATCTAAAAATATTTATTGAGAAGAAGGTTATCAATGGCTACTAGTCATATGACTGTGTATTACCTCCAGATAAAGTACACCTCTGATTGCTAGCTTCTGGGGGAAAGGAACATACTGGTGTGCTGTTGTTTGTTACGTTGCTGGCTTTCTCAAGACATTTAGTTAGCCAAAATGTGAACAGAATAGTGGACTAGATATGTGTTTGATCTAGTATGGTTTATCTTATGATCTCATGCCATGTCTATGTCTGGAAATCCTAAGAAGGTATGAGAGTGCGAACATCTTCCTTCTTTCCTTCCTTTGGCCAACTAGGGGTCTTTTTAAAAAGAAATATAGTAATGGCAGTTTGGTTTCTAATACTCTTAGTGGTAAATCCATATATGTTCTCAAGTGCTATTCTAACAGAGAAGAATTAGCATAAAATAACACATTACAGTATCTATTTTGATTAACTTAACCGGTTAGGTATGCACATGTGTATAATTAGATAGCAGTGTTCACTACACAACTGAGGGCAAACTCATTTGCTCTGAGTGTCATAGCCAAGGCAGCAGTTCACTTCCTCAGTGCAGAAACTGTATTTTAATTCAAACACTAGATGCTTAATAAGAATATCTTTTTTGCTTGTATTATGAAACTCCTCCATATAGCTATATTTTTATTTATTTAGACTTATACTCTGTGTGTTTAGAGGACAAGCCACTACTCTGGGTAGCTTCAAAAAAGTAGCATAGATATGCAAACAGAAATGTAACAGACATTGTATTTGTCATAATACAACTATAGAAAATGGAGAACTAAGAGAGTGACAGGTCTGCAAGAACAAAATAAGCTATTAGTTATTAAAATAGCTCTTAGGTAAAGGTAAAGGTTCCCCTTGACAATTTTTGTCCAGTCGTGTTCGACTCTAGGGGGCGGTGCTCATCCCCGTTTCCAAGCCATAGAGCCAGTGTTTTGTCTGAAGACAATCTTCCATGGTCACATGGCCAGTGCGACTTAGACACGGAACGCTGTTACCTTCCCACCAAGGTGGTCCCTATTTATCTACTTGCATTTGCATGCTTTCGCACCGCTAGGTTGGCGGGAGCTGGGACAAAGCGACGGGAGCTCACTCCATCGCGTGGATTCGATCTTACGACTGCTTGGTCTTCTGACCCTGCAGCACAGGCTTCTGAGGTTTAGCCCACAGTGCCACCACGTCCCCTTAAAGTAGCTCTTATGCATGTGTAATTTTCTTAATGGAAGTGTGCCATTACTCTCTGGTGAGAATAATACATACCTTCTCTTCCCTGGCCTGCTGGAAGATTTAAGGAGCTGCAAGAAATGGGGAAGAAGATCATGGATAACCCATCCCATAGCAGAGCTTTGGACGTCTGTGAGTCTGTGCACACACTTGCTCAGGAGAGAAATGAGCTGGATGAGTTGTGGGCCAAGCGACGGAAGAAGCTCCAGGAGAACGTAGCATTGCTCAAATTCAGCAAAGAAGTGGATGGCATCCAGGCTGCCCTCTCCAGCCATGAAGCCTTTCTCCGGACTGACTATCTTGGGGTAAATATGGCAATGATGATTATAACGATGGTGATGATGATGTGTCATCAGATTTACTGATTTAAGGCAATGCTTCCCAGGGTTTTCTAAGTATGAAGTACTCAAAAGTGAAAAGCAACCAAATTAATAATTTGGAAATTCAGGGTGGAAATTTTAAAATCTGAGATACTAAATTCTGGACATTGAAACACAAAGCCTCCTTCAGGCTAATCTTGTCCTCCAGAGATCAACTATTGGAAATAATTCAAGACTGTTTCTCTGGATTATCCGTTGTCTTTGACCACAGGCCAGAATTCTGCCTGCACAACAGCAATGACATCATTCTCCACAGCAGATAGCCAATCACTGAAGACTTTCTTTCTCAACTCCAGGGTGCATGTGATACTGTCTCATTGTGTGTGAGCTGTGTGCACCCAAAAATTAAAAACAAAAATCTTCAATCAGCAACAATCTGCTGCTAACACTGATGTCATTCTCATTGTGGAGGCAGAGCTGCACAAATGAACTAGAGCCAAAAAACCAATTAAGTGAACTAGCAAAAGCACACAGTTTTTTCCTTAGGAAGATAATTGACCACAGTCATCATATTCTACAGTTATTATACAGTGTGAAAAGGAAGCACAATAGATACTAAACACACTCTTTGCTAATTGTTTGCATATGTTATCTTCAAAATCTGCTAATCTGTATTAATCTTTAAACTACATCTGGTTTAACCTGGTAAAGATGGCTCTTTAAACTACATGAAGTGCTTCCTTCTACAAGGAAGGCTCCTTGATGTCCTCTCTGAAAATCTGGAACAACATTCCTGACAAATGTGACGTAGAGGCTACTTGGTTTCAGAGAGAAGAAGGCAGATGTCAGAAAAGATGTCAGAGAGAATGTGATTTCCCAAAGTGCTGCACAGTGGCAATGCATTTATGTCATAATGCAAAGACATAAAAAATATTTACAATTTTTCTCAACCTTGACAAGAAAGGGTGTCTTGACTCAAAGATATCTTGTCTGAAAAAATGATCAACTGCTATGAGATTTTTCACAAGAGCAAAAAGACTTGCACTTTTCCAATTGGAAGCAGTGTTAGCAACACACACACACACACACACACACACACAGAGAACTAGCTTTTTGTCCAGAAATCTTGTACCTGTACAGATGTGCACACACATGCATGTGCAAATACATTTTTTCAAAAAATTGCAGAAAATGTGCACAAAACCTATGCAGGCTTTTCCACAAAATGCAAAGGTCTCCCACAAAACATAAGGTTTAATGCAGAAAATAAAATCTTCAAAAGCCAATGTGGTGTAGAAAGTAAGAGTTTCAGATTAGGAATCTGAAGACCTGAGTTCAAATTCCTGTGGTATGGAAACTCACTGGGAGGTCACAATAGTAAACCACTCCTTGACCATCTCACATACTTTGGAAACCCTATTAGGATCCCTGTAAGTTAGAGCAATTCGATGGCAAATGGCAACAACCACCACAGTCTGTTGCAGAAAATATACAAGTCTGCCAAAAAAAGCACAAAAAATATTGTAATACCACCCACTAGAGAAATTTTTTTGAAGTGTTTCATTTTCACTTGCTAGAACAAAATGAGTGAGAAGTTACATCCCAATCATAGTATGGTTTGTTTTCATACTTGATTTCTGTCTCTTTAGGACCACGTGGATTCTGTCCGAAGTGTCCTGAAGCGACATGAGGATTTTGAAAGTGTTATGATGGTGTTGAAACATCGGGCAGATGCAGTCAATGAACATGGAGAACAGTTGGTAGAAAATGGGCATTTTGCTTCTGATGCGTATGTGTCCAAGTGTTTTCTAAATACAGAAAATACTAAGACTTTTGAGTTATGACTGATATTATGGAGTGCATTAAAATCCTGCTTTTTTGTGTCATATCTGAAAGCTGTTAATTACAAGACTAAATTTTTTGTTAGGAAAAAAAATCAGATTTTCACATTAAATTAAGGCAGTCATCGAAGCGACCAACATGAAATTGACCAAACTCCGGGAGGCCATGGAAGACAGGAGGGCCTGGCGTGCTCTGGTCCATGGGGTTATGAAGAGTCGGACATGACTAAATGACTAAACAGAAACAAATGGGTATTTACCTAGCTCAGTGCATTGGAGAACCTGGCTGTGAAGCAGGCATCAGGAATTCAATTTCCTACTGTGCTTTCCAGGAGCAAAGCCACCCTGTGTGTCGTTGGGCAAACTGTACCGTCCCAGGGCAACCCCAGAAAAAAGTGGACTGGGAAACCACTGTAGTGGGCAATGAATTTGCTCCAGGTTCTACCTAAATCCATTCCTATGTTACTATCAACCCTTAGTGTGACAGTTTTCTTCCCCTCCCCCACCAAGTCTCCATACCACCCCAATGTTCCCACATTTTGCAGCAGATCATGAGGGGGATGCAGTGAAAGGAGCATCATCCCTCCCCTGCTGCTGCAGAACAATACTGCCCCCCCAGAGGACACAGTTTAGTCAACAGAACATCTTTATGGAAACTTGGCACCACTTTGTATAGCTTGTATAGCTTACTAGTTAGATAAATGGAATTAATGTAACTAAATAATTTAATTTAAGTACTGTATAATGAAATAGCGTGATAATCAGTGCTGATGCCAGAGACAATGCTGGATTTGCAATCTGAAAATTATATAATATTAACCTTTCTTCCTTTGAGTAGGGCAGAAAAAAAAATCTTTCATTTTGTGTTAAATGGTACAGTAAACTGAGTACCGAAATCAGGAATGCAGTTAGTTTCAGCTTCCATAGTTACATTTATGTTTCTGAAGCCATGCAAACATGTTCTACAAGATTTAGATTAATGTTCCTGCTTGCTTGCCTGTCCCATCTTAGAACACTCTTTATAAATGTTAACATTTATATTACAGGATCAAGGAAAGAATGACTGCCTTACAAGAGAGGTGGAAATTGCTAGCAAAGAATAATGAACAGAAAAAGAAGAGGCTATTAGAATCACTTCTGTTACAGGTTAGAGGCTTTACCTTCTTCTAAAAAGTGGGCCTTTTTACTGGATTGTGCATTCTCTTATTAAAGATTCCCACTTCATTTCAGGTAATGTTTTATTTAAGAAAATGCCTCTTAACTCTATTTTCTTGCACATTTTGGTTAAACACTTTGCTATAAAGAAATGAAGCTCTTCATCTCTCTTGCCCAGTCCTCCTTTTCCAAAGCGCACAAATCTTTTGCAACCCAGGGAATAACCTTCCAGTTGTAATTCCAATTCGTTTTAATAATGGTATGAGCAGCCTGGGGTCCTTTCAATGGGAGAAAAAAAGACATAAAATGCAACCAATCAATCAATAAACTGGCTTCAGGATGTATGATTCTCTTCTAATGTGATTCAGCGTTTCAGAAGTTGCAGTTTCACTAGTATTTATTGGCTCATCATGAGAAATGAGGAAAGGAATGACAAGTTCTCTTTGCCCATTGATTTCTGTAAATACAGAAGCTTTGAAGTTACATCTCTGCAGGAATTAATGTGTTCTGTCCCCAAGTTACAACGCTAGCTAGTTGTCTTTTTTGGCTCAGTATCATCCTATTATTACTAGCTAACCCGCCTCTGCTGTGCCCTCCTCAGCTTCAATACTGCCTTTCAACCTTCCAAAGTTTTTGTATCCCTTTTGCAGCAATAACAAAACTGTTGAGCTGGAAGTGACCCTAGGAGTCATCAAGTCCAGCTCCTGTCAAGGAGGCACAGTGGAGGATCGAACTCTCAATCTCTGGCTCTGCGGCAAGAGACATAGGCCACTGAGCCATTCAACAGTTATTTGTGTGAGTGGCAAATTTAGATACTGCAGTGGTGCCTCACTTAACGATGATAATCCATTCCAGGAAAATCACTGTTAAGCGAAAACGTCATAAAGCGAAATTAAAAAACTCATTGAAACCCGTTCAATGCGTTCCAATGGGCTAAAAACTCACCGTCCAGTGAAGATCCTCTATACAGCAGCCATTTTTGGTCCCTGTATAGTGAGGAATCCATCCCTAAGCACAGCGGGGAGCCATTGTATGCACCAGGTGGCCATTTTGAAAACCGACAATCAGCTGTTTTGGATTGTCGTAAAGCGAAAATCGGTTCCCGAAGCAGGGAACCGATCATCACTAAGTGAAATTTCCCCATTTAGACCATCGTTTTGCGATCACAATTGCGATAGCAAAATCCTCGTCGTAAAGCGGATTCGTCATAATGCGGGGCAATCGTTAAGCGGGGCACGACTGTAATAGGTTATGGGGTGTGGTAACATGGTACAATTCTTGCAAGACTGCATTGTATTAGGAACTAAGTAGAATAACTCATGGGCCAATGTTGCCCCTCATCAAGAACTACTACTATGTAGAAACAGATGTATCTGTGAAAAGACAGGCACAATGTCAGACCCTGGAGAATATGAGGTTCTGTCTGCATGCTTCTTTAAGGATGAGGTGTGTTGTAGTGAAGAATTCTGGTCAGTTCATATGCCAGTTCTTGGCAGTCTTTCAAGTATTTGAAGAGTGCTATAATATCTCCCTTTCGTCTTATTTATTCAAGGCTACACGTGCCAAAGTCCTTTTAGTCTTTCCTCAAAGGGCTTGGCTTCCAGTCCCTTGATCACCTTTGTGCCCCTCCTCTGAACTTGTCAACATCCTTCTTAAAGCACAGTGTCCAAAACTGGACACAGTACTTAAGGTGAGGCCTAACCAGTGCCGAATAGAAAGGAACTAGTACTTCGTGAAATTTAGAGACTATAATTCGGTTAATACAGCTTAAAATAGCATTTGCCTTTTTTGCATCCATATCACACTTTTGATTTATATTCAGCTTGTGGTCTACAGTAATTACAAGATCATTCTCACATGTAGTATTACTGAACTAAGTACTGTATTCCCTATCATATAACTGCTTTTCGTTCCTTTTTCCTAGATGTAGAACTTCGCACTTATTCCTGTTAGATTTGATTCTGCTGTTTTTAGTCCAGGATTTAAGCCTATCAAGATTTTTTTTCAGTTTTATTTCTGTCTTTCAAGGTATTAGCTATTCCACCCAATTCTGTGTCATCTGAAAATCTGATAGGCATTCCCTGCACCTCTTCATCCTAATCATTAATAAAAATATTGAAGAGCACTGGGCCCAGGACTAAGACTTGTGGGACCCTACTTCTTACCTCCTCCCAGTTTGACAAGGAGCCATTGGTAATCACCCTTTGAGTACAATTCTGTAGCCAACTGTGTATCCACCTGATAGCTGTTCTATCCAGACCGCACTTAGTTAGCCTGCTAATCAGAAAATCATGGGGCTTTTCATGAAAAGCTTACCATGTTATGTAATCCAAGTGGGAAACTGATCTAAAAAAAATATTTGAGTCAGTGTCCATTTAAACATTCAGGGTTTTTTTTTTTAGGAGTTCAATCATGACACCGCTGAGCTCCTGATGTGGATGGAGGAGAAATACAAGGTAGCATCAGATGAGTCCTACCGTGAGCCAACCAATATCCTGTGGAAGTTGAAAAAACATGAGGTTGCAGAACAGGAAATGATGGCCAATAAGAAGCACTTTGTGGAGCTGATGGTGGTAAGGCAGATGAGGTTTGGTGGAGCAGTCAAACTTTACTGGTGTCATTTCATTCATTCCTTTCTCAATTATAGGATTTCAAATGTAAAAGCAAGGGTTTCATACAAACTGCCGTATCATGACTGGAAATAAGTAGACTTATTCACAGTGCAAATTCACAGTGTGAATTCTGCAGCCCTGAAAAGTCTTGGTTTTCTAAAAATCAGATTGCTAATGGTAAAACTAGGAAGAGGTGGTCACTTTTGGAAGAAACCTCGCAGTAGGCTTCTAGGAATGAAAGAACGGTGCACATTGAGTACACTTTGGTAACATTACTGTACTTAGTCTGTCCTATTGTTATGACAGAAAACCAAATGGGTGGGCAGTTAAAGATCAAGGATTTAAGTACAGCAGCAGGCAAATCTACTTATTTGGAAGAATGAACTAAATCAGCCATTTTCAAGGGGGACAGTATGCCCCCCCGGGCCCTGACAGATTTGAACGGGGGCAGAGACTGGAAACAATTTTCCACAGACCACCTTATAAGCTTTGTTATGTGACACATACAATCCTGATTCAGTCTATATTTCTTTCATATTGTGCTTATGGCCATGGCAAAAAAAGGCTGAAAATGGCTGATCTAAAGGAATATATGTATTCCCTTATCATATGCACACTCCAAGACTGAACTGTTTTCGTATTAGATATGTCCATGGATGTGAACCAGAATCTACTTTTAAACACGGGTCGGTAAATTCCAGACTTGCAGAAGTTCTTTGTTATTTACAAGAGTCATAATATCTACCCTCTGATATTAAGGAAAAGACATACACTTTGAGTTAAAGGATTCTCAGTTCACGAATATGTTGTGAGTACCAGAACTGAATGGAGCTGATAGTTGCTCCAAACAGACATCCTAATGATTTCTTAATTTCAGCAGTCCTGAGTGTTTGTGTGTGTTGGTAGGGTTATTTCATTTTCATTCTGAAAAAATAGGATGCCAGATTTCCTTACAGTGAAAGATAGGAAAATAATACTGGCCTTTGAAATCAGTTCAGATTCAATGAATTCATGGGGGAATTAAAGCTATCAATAGCTACTTTGGAATTGTCATGTTGATGTCTATATCTCCACCCTCAGAAGTAGCTTTCCTTTGAATGCCATTTGCTGGGGAATGCACCCAGAGAATACACATATCCTCCTAGCAGGCTTCCGATAGACATTTAGTTGGCCACTGTCTAACTTGACAGAGACCTTTGCTCTGATCTAGCCAAGCTTATGTATTAACTACAACCAAAAAAAGATCAGGATGGCTCTCCTATTGCTGTTAGTCTATGGTCAGTTTGTTTAGTGATTGGTTGGTGATGGAGGTGATTTATGTATTTTATGAGGCTGGTGTGTGTAGTACACTATTACTTTGGAATAAACATAGGCAAATAAAAATAAGCCCAATGTATCTAGATATTTACAGTATTTTAACCAAATATACTGTGCATGTCCAGGCAGGAAATCAGCTGGTTCAAGGCAACCATTATGCTGCAGATTCCATTCAGGATAAAATGTCAGAAATGAAGAAGAAGTGGGAGAGGCTGTACAGCAAAATGATGGAGTGAGGAGACAAACTGAGGCAAGCTGGACAGCAAGAACAACTGATGGAACTTCTTGAGGTCAGAGGTTAACATGCTGGTGCTGTGAATGCTAGCAGTGCAGTGAGCCAAGTTGTGACTTCTATAAAGCAATTAAAATATATATTTGGCAGATAAACATTTTGCATTTAAAAATATCACAAATGAAAGATTCCGGCTCTAAGCATCGAAAAACAAGGAAAAGACAGAGCCTCTTATCTCTTCTAGAATGCTGGTGGTGAAGAAATAATGGCTTTTAGTAAAAGGGGGGAAAGGATGTGGGAAAATTGCTTCCTAAAGAGACTCTCGAAGACATTGTGCATTGATTGGTGTATGAGTGTGAAAATGAAGTTCCTGTTACACCAGTGAGTAGGAGGGCATAACCAGAAATGACTTTAGGCCACTTGCAGCTATAATTAATGGAAATATCTGTTAGAGTTTAACACAGAGAACAGAGACAATATAATGTCTTTGTTAAATCAGAAAGGTTGAAACATTTCAGGTAGTAACATTTCATGAAGAAAATAACAGATACAGAATCAAACCCATTATTCCACACAAGAATTTTCCCACACAAAGCAGACTATGATTATATTTTCACTAAAGCCATTTGTATCCCAAGCAAATTCAATTAACTCTTTAAATGACAAAATCAAGGCCTATGAAATGGGCAGCTGCTTGAAGTACTATCTAGTACCCCCTAAAACTCCCTCCAGCCCTGGCTCTTAGAAGCAGGCCTAAAAGTCCCAATAGCCTAGCAGCGAAGCTGTCAAATCAAGATACGATTGTAAAAGAAAGTGAAATATTATATCTACTAATCCAATGTAAGGGGTATGAAGTCCTTGATCTCATAGGTCCAGATAGGTGAGATCAGCATAGCCTAGATCCCAGATGGGGGATCCCAGAGAGGCCAAAAGGGGAGGTTACTTAGGAGAAGGAAAAGTTAGCAAGAGGGAAAGTCTTCCTCTCTTTCTCAGGAGAGGAGATCCGGAACCAAGATTGAGAACCAAGATTGAGGAAAAGAGCTCTCTCTCTCTCTGGGTTCAGTGGCTTTTTTTCCCCCATAGACTCCCCTAAAGTTTACTGCAGTCTGATTGGTTTCTTTGCCTTCTTCCCCAGTTGCTAACCTCAAGATGGTTTCTAATTGATGAATGACAAGGTCTGGTCAAAAGCTTTAGAAACAGTTCTCTATTGTTTTCAGGGGGTGACAATAATCCTAGGCACCATATCTCCGTATAAGGAACCTTCCAGGCTCATGGGATAACAACTTTTCCAGGGGTCTATGCATCATCTGTCCATCTCCACGTCTCCATACTAGCCTATTGTTTCGGGCTCAAAGAAGCTGTGTCATCATTAAGTTGTTCCCGGCATCTCATTTTCCAGGCAGCTAGAATTTCCTACCCTTTATGGGAGCCAGGCCTACATTTGAGCCATCTTCTTGCCCCTTCATCTGGTATGTTCCCCTTTTTTGAGCTCGTATTCCTGACATACAGGTATCTTCAGAATAGGACCTGAGTAACAGAGTGAACATTATTATGTCAGGGGAACTTAAGAGTCAGGTGCTAAGACTTGATGCTAACTGGTGTTACTGTCCCATTATACCACTACTGCAGTCAATTTGGGTCAAACTACACACTGCTTCATGTTAAAATCTGTTTCAATGACCTATTTCATTTTCAGCTTCTTGCCCGAGCAATTAGACTTGCAAAAGAAACACACACTGCTTTAAAATCTGTTTCAATGACCTATTTCATTTTCAGCTTCTTGCCCGAGCAATTAGACTTGCAAAAGAAACTTATGTTTACCTCTTGATGTCCAGTCAAAATAAAATAAGCTAAGCCACAAGCTACAGGAGGTGATTAAAAATTAACTGCATGACAATCAGATATTTTATGGCATTTATTGGAACAGTGTCTAGTGTGGCTGAGGAGGCCAATTTGAGAGTGACAATCCCTTCCACACTGGAGACAAATCCAATCTGTCCCCTGTCCAGCTCCCTGGTTTTGCTTCCTTTGTGACTTCCTCTTTGCCTCAGCCTGCTGGACAAGGGTCTCTTCAAATTGGGAGAGGCCGTGATGTACTGCCTGCCTCCAGGCTGAACGATCAGATGTCAGAGTTTCCCATCTGTTGAGGTCTATTCCTAAGGCCTTCAGATCCCGCTTGCAGATATCCTTGTATCGCAGCTGTGGTCTCCCTCTGGGGCGATTTCCCTGCACTAATTCTCCATATAGGAGATCCTTTGGAATCCGACCATCAGCCATTCTCACAACGTGCCCAAGCCAGCGTAGACGTCGCTGTTTCAGTAATGTATGCATGCTGAAAATTCCAGCTCGTTCTAGGACTACTCTATTTGGAACTCTGTCCTGCCAGGTGAAACCAAAAATCCGTCGTAGGCAACGCATATGGAAGGTGTTCAGCTTCCTCTCCTGCCGGGCACAAAGAGTCCAGGACTCGCTGCAGTACAGGAGTGTGCTCAGGACACAGGCTCTATAGACCTGGATCTTGGTATGTGTTGTCAGTTTCTTATTGAGCCATACTCTCTTTGTGAGTCTAGAGAACATGGTGGCTGCTTTCCCAATGCGTTTATCCAGCTCGACATCTAGAGAGAGGGTGTCAGAGATGGTTGAGCCAAGGTACACAAAGTCATGAACAACCTCCAATTCTTGTGTGGAGATGGTAATAGAGGGAGGTGAGTCCACACCCTGGCCCATGACTTGTGTTTTCTTCAGGCTGATTGTTAGTCCAAAGTCTTGGCAGGCCTTGCTGAAACGGTTCATGAGTTGTTGGAGGTCTTCAGCAGAGTGGGCAACAATGGCTGCATCGTCTGCAAAGAGGAAGTCCCTCATGCATTTCAGCTGGACTTTGGTCTTTGCTCTCAATCTAGAGAGATTAAAGAGCTTTCCATCTGATCTAGTCCGGAGATAGACACCTTCTGTTGCAGTTCCAAAGGCATGCTTCAGCATGACAGCAAAAAAGATCCCAAAAAGTGTTGGTGCGAGGACACAGCCCTGTTTCACTCCGCTTCGGATGTCAAAGGGATCTGATGTTGAGCCGTCAAAAACTACAGTGCCTTTCATTCCATCGTGGAAGGACCTGATGATGTTAAGGAGACGAGGTGGACATCCAATCTTGGGAAGTATTTTGAAAAGGCCATCCCTGCTAACCAAGTCAAATGCTTTTGTAAGGTCTATGAAGGCCACTAAGAGTGGCTGTTGTTGTTCCCTGCATTTCTCCTGCAACTGTCGGAGGGAGAATACCATGTCAGTGGTGGATCTATTTGCTCGAAATCCACACTGTGATTCCGGATAGACTCTGTCTGCAAGCACCTGGAGCCTCTTCAGCACAACACGGGCAAGCAGCTTCCCTACAACGCTAAGAAGAGAGATACCACGGTAGTTATTGCAGTCACCCCTGTCACCTTTGTTCTTGTACAACGTGACAATGTTTGCATCCTTCATGTCCTGTGGTACTCCACCTTCCCTCCAGCAGAGACAAAAGATTTCATACAGTTCGGTGATGATGATCTCCTTACCGCATTTCAGCACTTCAACAGGGATGTTGTCCCTTCCAGGTGCCTTGCCAGAGGTGAGGGAATCCAAGGCCGCATTTATTTCTGCTAGGGTTGGTTCGCTGTCCAGCTCTTCCAAGACAGGCAGGCACTCAATGTTATTTAATGCTTCTTCGGTTACTACATTCTTTCTGGAATATAGCTCGGAGTAGTGCTGCACCCAGCGTTCCATCTGCTGTGCTCGGTCCTGGATGATCACACCTGTAGTAGACTTCAAGGGAGCAGATTTCTTCTGTAATGGACCTAAGGCCTGCTTGATACCATCATACATTCCTTTGATGTTACCTGTGTCCGCTGCTATCTGTATCTGAGAGCAAAGCTGAAGCCAATAGTCATTGGAGCATCTCCTGGCAGCCTGTTGGACTTGGCTACGAGCGGCTCGAAGAGCTTGCAGGTTGTACTCGCTAGGACAGGCTTTGTATGCTGCTAGAGCTCTTCTCTTATCCTCAATGGCTGGCATTAACTCCTCCGAATGGGCTTCGAACCAGTCAGCCATCTTTCTGGTCTTCTTGCCGAAGGTGGACAAGGCGGTGTTGTAGACAGTGTTCTTGAAGTGTTCCCATCGTTCAGGTGCATTTACATTAGCTGGACCTGGAAGGGTTTCCTCGAGTGCTTGGGCAAATTCCTTCACTTTTCTTTGATCGCGAGTCTTGTTGATGTCAATACGTGGTCTTCCTTCCTTTTTCATGTGATACAATTTCTTTGTTCGCAGTTTTACTCTACTACACACCAGGGAGTGATCAGTATCGCAATCAGCACTCTGGTAGCTGCGTGTGATCGTAACACTAGGAAGGCTAGAACGTCTAGTGAGGATCAAATCGAGCTGATGCCAATGCTTGGATCTTGGATGTCTCCAGGAAACTCTGTGTTGCAGCTTCGTATTAAAGAATGTGTTGCTGACACAGAGACCATAGTAACAGCAAAACTCCAGTAAGCGTTGGCCATTTTCGTTCATCTTTCCAATGCCAAAACGGCCTAGACAAGTGGGCCAAGAATTGTGATCAGCACCAACTCTAGCATTAAAGTCTCCATGTATACCATAGCTCCTCTCTGCAAGGTTTCTGTTTCTGGTTTTAGTGGGCTAACACACAAGACAGTGGCATAATAGTGTGAGAGGAAGACAGGCTTTATTTTATGACACAGCCAGCCCCACAAAGTTTTTTTTTCCTTCCCTAGACAAGCTACTACCTTCTTTCAGCTTTGTCTGCTCTAGGTCGGTCAAGAGTGTTCTAGAAGTAGCAAAGGAAAATGTATTGACCAGAGTCTCTCAAACCACATAGCTTTCAGTAATGCTGCCTTTTGACAGTCTGTTAGTAGTCATCTTTCCAATTACTAGCTAGTCAGGATACCCAATGTAGTGAGTAACAGACTGGGACTCAGGAGGCCTGGCTTACAATCCCTGCTCAGCCATGGAAACTCACAGAGGGTGTGAAAGTGGTAAAAAAGGTAAAGGTAAAGGTTCCCCTTGACAATTTTTGTCCAGTCGTGTCCGACTCTAGGGGGCGGCACTCATCCCGCTCTTCAAGCCATAGAGCCAGCGTTTTGTCCGAAGACAATCTTTCCATGGTCACATGGCCAGTGTGATTTAGACACGGAACGCTGTTACCTTCCCACCAAGGTGGTCCCTATTTATCTACTCGCATTTGCATGCTTTCGAACCGCTAGGTTGGTGGGAAAGTGGTAAAACTACTCCTTAAATATCTCACCTTGAAAGCCCTTTTAGATTTGCTGTAAGTTGGTTTTTACTTGAAGGCACATAAGAACAACAAGGGGCTAGTCAAAGAATTTGTAATTGATGTTTTTTCTTGCCTCTCCCTTGTTTCCTTAGCATGCTTACATTCTTATATAAAGAACATAAGAAAAATGATATCTCTTCTCATGGGAAAAATATATATACATATAGTATATGGATAGGGCAGATATAACTTTGGTGGCAAGAATCCATGAGATTCTCAGTATGTGACTTGGCAATCTAGACATTGAGTCATGGCAACTGGACTTCTTTTTTTTATTAGGTTGAAACATTTTTTTACTCATCCAAGTAGTTTCTTCAGTCAGAGGAGAATTGGTAGGAGATCCCTGATATATTCTCCAGGTTGGTTTTACTTCCCCCTGGTCTGAATAGGCTTGTTAGATAGACAAATAATTGGGGGTGAGGGAAAATCCCATTTCCGCAGTCTTCTCCATCTATTGCCATGGGTCGTTAACTGTAGTTAACAGTGTCTTTCTGATGTATGTGGTCCTGACCTTCCTGGAGACAGATGAAAGGGCAGCATGTTAAATAAGAGACAGATTTTATCTAAGGCTTCAATTGGGGGTGAGGGAAAAATCCCATTTCCGCAGTCTTCTCCATCTATTGCCATGGGTCGTTAACTGTAGTTAACAGTGTCTTTCTGATGTATGTGGTCCTGACCTTCCTGGAGACAGATGAAAGGGCAGCATGTTAAATAAGAGACAGATTTTATCTAAGGCTTCCACCCCTATGTATGGCTTCCTTGACCCTTCTCTCAAACCACCTATCTTCTCAGTCCAAAATGAGTAGATCTTGGTCATCAAATGAGTGTCCTTTGTCCTTCAAGTGAAGGAACACTGATGATTGTAGTCCTGAGCTGTTGCCCCTCCTGTGCTGGGCCATTCTCCTGCTTAATGGCTGTTTGGTTTCTCCAATGTAGAGCTCCAAACACTTCTCTTTGTATTGGAGTATATATACTATATAGCTCCTGTTGTGTTTTGGTGTCCGGTCATCAGTGTTATTTTATTTGAAGGACAAAGGACCCTCATGTGATGACCAATATCTACTCATTTTGGACTGAGAAGGTAGGTTGTGTGCATATAGAAAATCCCTCACTCAACAGAGGTGGAGGCTTTATATACATTGGGTCTCCGATTGTATCTAAATTTATCATGATACCCTTTCATCTGTCCCCAGAAAGATTAGGACCGCACACACCAGAAAGACCACTGTTAACTACTGTTAACGACCCATGATAATGGGTGTAGAAGGACTACAAAAGTGGGATTTTCCCTCACCTCCAGTCCTTTGTCCCTTTAACAAGCCTTTTCAGACTAGGGGGGAAGTGAATCCAATGGGGAGGATATATCAGGGGTCTCCTACCAACTCTCCTCAGAATGAAGAAGCTGTTTGGATGAGGAGCAAGATGTTTCAACCTAATAATAAGTCCAGTTGCCATGACTCATCCTCCAGATAACCCACCTGGATGACTGAGAATCTTCACAAATATGTGACTTGGCAATGCTTTTTCAAATAATTTTCAGCACTAGGGAAATAGTAGAAAAGAAGTTGGGTGCACAAGGTTAGTCAGCACAAGCAATGGCAGAACTTAAACTAGTGTTGAATGGAAGATGCTTCAATGACTGTTGAATCACTGGCCTTTTATTTTGAGGTTTCTCATAAATGTGCACTAGAGTCCCTATAAATACACTATTTTATGATGGATGGTCTCCTGCAGTTGCTCAGGGTATCGGAACAGCACTGTTTTAATATCCAATTTGCAGATTTGACTCTCTCCAGGAGCCTCTTTCTGAGAGAAGCCAGCTGCTACAGGAAAGAGTGGAATTATTTCAGTTCTGTCATTACCATGACATGGAAATGAAGTGGATTAATGAGCGAAAAATGGTTGCCAACACCACAAATCGAGGCAAATCCTTCAGTGCGGCTCAGAGCTTGCTACAGAAGCACAAGGTAATTTCTTGGTGCTGCTGCCCCTGCTCAATTGGTCATATTGAGGACTACTGACTGATTCTTCCAGTACACTGAAATCCTGTTGCACAGCTCCGCATGGTCAGCAGGGATGAAGTCATCACCAGCAATAAATCACAGCTGAGTAAAGGTGATTTCAGGGTGTTCAAGTTCACACACAATGTGAAGAAGCCATGTGTACCCCAAAATTATCAAAGGAAACTTTGGATTCGCAGTGACTTGCCACTGCTTCCAACATTCTCCCAACACACAGAGCAACAGGATTTCACTTAAAATGTTTCTATAGGAGAATAGAGGATTAACCCCATTTAACCACTCCCCCCTGCTACAGACACATTCCTAAAGCTAGTCCTCACACAGATGATCTTTAATATTCTTTATCCTATTTGCAGAGTGTCATTGGAAAATTATAGTTAGTTTCAGCATGTAATTATATCCTTTCTTTTCAATAATAACTTTTTAAGCATAAGGTTGGGATATAGGCTTAGTTTAGATAAGTGGAGAATGTTATATAGAATTTTTAGAACTTAGCATTTGTACAGTACTGGAAATGGAAAATAAAAAAACCAAGATGTCAGGAACCAAACTTGCTCAGTTTTCCATTAATACGTCTGTACAAATGCAATTCTAAAGACTAAAACAGTTAATCTTTCCTTGTCAGCTGGGTGCTTTTGCCTTGCCAACATATTTTAGACATTATATGAGCAATCTATTGTTACAGTCTGTTCTCCAAATTTAAGGTCAGAATAAAACACCTTAGCTTGACCTTATTCAGAGCCTGACACACATGTCTAAATTTAGCCCTGGAATAGTGAGTGATAGAAAAAATTAAAATTTATACTTCAACATAACAGCAATTAATACTGCACACTCTTGTGATAGAGTGTGCAGAATTGCAGTTTGTGTAAATTCAGCAACCATGACCCAGGATCCAGTTAAATATTTCCTGAATTTTGTGATGGATAAAGGGTTCTTGTATTGCCTTGTCATGAACCCATTGTAGCAATTAATAAAATTACTCATTGGGAACTCAGGAAATAGGGTAGTATTATAGGTTCAGATCTTGGGAATAATATTCTATAGCCAGTGTATTCCTGATGGAAGGCTGTTCTACTGTCATTTGAAAGGACATTGCATAAATGCATTCATGTGCTCAGAAAATATATTCCTGAGAAAATTTGCAAGAACTTCCTTTTGCTCTCTGTTCTTGAAAATGGGCATATTGGAAAGTATAGCCTCTATTTTTCCTCACAATGTCACAGGACAGTGGTAGGTATGAGACAATGTGAGGGATACAAAATGGCAGCCATGCCACAAACAAATTGGTACTGCAGTGATGGTCAAATATTGTTTAGGAAGAAGAAAGAGCCTCGTGGTGCAATGGCTAAACCACTGTACTGCAGCCAAAACTGTGCTCACGATCTGGGGTTCAATCCCAGGTAGCAAAGCTCGAGGCTGACTCAGCCTTCTATCCTTCCAAGGTCGATAAAATGAATACCCAGCTCGCTGGGGGGGGGGAATGTGCACCCTGCATAATTAACTTGTAAACTGCCCAGAGAGTGGTTAAAGCACTATGGGGACGGTATATAAGTAGAACGCTTTGCTTTTTTGGTTTTGCTTTGGTGCAGCTTCAGCTTCACAGTGCTGCTCCCCAGGAATATCTTGATAATTTCTCCTCTGACCACTGAAATTTTAAGAAAGTAGTTCCCAGCTGCCAGCAAACAGGGTGGAGAAATACGGGGGACAGTGTTTATCTGGATCTGGTTCAGGGTGAGGGTGGCTCACGACCAGGACCAGGCAGGTATCTCCCCCCTCCAAATTTAGGGGCAAGGCAAAAACCACCACCCCAAACCCCAGTCCATGAGCTGCCCCAGTTTCAGAGGCAATATCTCTTTCTAAATAAATGAAGTGTATCACCACCCAAATGTATCTTGCTGGCTAGTGTGGAAAACAACCAGAATGTTCAATGATTCATGCCTACATCTGACTCAGCAGGGATTGTCTTATGCTCTTAGGCAAAAAATAAATACCATTCCTCTTTCCAACATGTACCAAAAACGTTTCTCCTTTTTACACATCCATTTCCCTACTAGATTTCCCTAAATTTCATCCAACAATCCTTTTTCTCCCAGCTACCCTAAAGTGTCCTCCCAATCAAGGTAATGTTTTAAAAATTATCCTGCTATTCTAAAGTTCGATAAAACAGCATCAAAATGATTTTTAAAACTACATACTGGCCAGAATCCTATAGAGAATCCTATCGAGTAGTTAAACGTGGTACAAATGCAATGAGTAAACCACAGTGGCAAATTAACAAGGTAGCAGTAGTATTCCTTGTTGCATACAGATGTGGTTAGAAATATAAGCAACAACTAATCACTTACTGACAATTTGCTGTTCTGATTTATCCCAAGAACCTTATGCCAGCACAACTAACGAACAGGATTCTGGCCTCTGATGTTTAAAAACTGTGTTTCAAAAATCACAAGTGTTCTTGTTCCTTGTTCTGTTTCTTCTCTCTTTGCCATTCCCCCCCCCCATTATATATCATTTCTGAATGTCAATCAGGAATTACAGATAGAAGTCAATGCCCATAAGCAGCAAGTCACCAAGATTCTAGAGCAGGGAAGAGCCATGCTGGAAGGCAGACACATGTCCTCTCAGAGAATCAAGGAGAAATGTCAAGAACTGAATGACAGCTGGCTGGAGCTGGAGAAAGCATGTGAAGAAAGAATTGAGCAGCTACAACAGTCTGTTGCCTTCCATCAGGTAGATCTCACTGTGTGTCATCACCTTTTAGGAGCCAGTCCAAACCATGTTGCCATTTGAGCTGTAAGACAAAATTATTCCTCCTTCCACCCAGTTCCATGCCCAGAAGCCAGCTAGATGGGAAGCTGAATCCTGCTTTAATGTTGGCAATATCACAGTGGCTTCCATTCCATCTAAAAAGTAACGGGTTAGTTTAGGGAAGAGAGGGCTGGCATGAATGCCTGCAAAAAACCAGGCTTTGCCACCAGTGGGGCAGTGGTTCATTTTGATGGTAATGACTTGGGTGCCTTAAAAGGAATGGAGTGAAGGGTTCTATTCTGTGTATCTTAACTGGTTTTTCATTTAATATAGACTTTATGAGTTTAACTTATAATGATAATGGTATTTAGCAGGTCAACCTTGTGAAATTTATTGCATGCAATTTCTACAGAGGGAAACAATCATTTGTATTTTTCATTTGCAAAGTACTTAATGAATATCGCAGATCTGGAGAGTTGGGCACTAGAGAAGTTTCCCCTGGTCACCAATAAAGACTTTGGCAAGGATGGTGCTGCAACGACCAGACTCTTAAAGAAACATAAGGTAATAACCCACCATTAATTTGCCAGTGATTGTCCAGAGACTGAATAGTTTTTTTTTCTGAATTTGAGTCAAGCGCAATAGAATACTGTACTGTTGGATGCATACACATATTATGGAGTAACAATATAACAAATACTTCCACAGTTTTTTCTCATCCTCAGTGAAAAATGTGTCTCAACACATGAAGACACAATTGAAATAAACCACTGTAAGAACATTTTTCATTAGAAACAATTTTTGTAAGAGAGGGAGAGAGTTACTCACATGTAAAATATCCATTTTGCATTAAAAAATCTTCAAAGCAGAGAAGTCCATCACCAGCCTGATCATGCAACAGAGCATTTGCAACCGGACCTCTCTACATAACTGCACCTATTACTGTGTGTTCCATTACACATGCCATAAATTCAACAGAATACTGGCCCTTGTATTTTCTTTGGGAAAAATGGGGGGGGGGGTTGCGGGTAGCAAAAAACATATCTAGAAAAAAAGTGTAAAACTGCAAACAAATACACAAAAACACAAATAATTTCGCTCCACTCAGCAAGAAGGAAACATTTGAAATTCTTTTTTCATATGTGCAAGAATGAAATAAGTAAAGATTTATCCTCTTTTTAAGTAATGTAAACCATTCCCCAGGCTCCTCTATTTCTAACTTCACTAGGTTCAGGGTGGAGACCTTGTTGTAGGTCTGTATTAGAGAGCCCTGCCTATCACTGGGGTCAGTGTGGAGTTGCTGCTATATTTTTTATTGTGCTTATGAGATCCCTGTTATAAATGTTTGGCCTCTGTATGTATACCATGCTGGCCTAATTATGCCTTTGGTCTGTTGCTGGATAGGTCTTATATCACAGGGCTGTATAAAGAATCCCTTATATCAGCAATCTCCAATATTTTTGGGACCACGGACAGGCTGAGCCTCTTAGGAAAGCAGGATAGCCCCCCCGTGCTTGCGTGTGTTTGTTCTTGGGCGGAAGTGTGCATGCATGAAGTGGTGGGGAAGCACATGCTGGTGTGAGCACTCCCCCCCCTTTGTGCATACGCAGGAGCGCCTGCATACCTACCCACATGCCTGCATGCATGAAGGGGTTGGGGAGCACTCATGCCGGCGCTGACACTCGTGTGCGTGCTCAAAGCAGCTGTGGGGAGGGGAGTGCGTGCGGGGAGGTGGGAGGTCTGTCTTTGCGGCCCAGTCCAGCTCAGGCCATGGACCATCACCGGGCTGTGGACCGGGGGTTGACGACCTCTGCCTTATATTACTAAGACCTATGCGGAGCCTGATCACCCAAAAAGACTGACTGCTGCCTATGGGCTGCTGCTTTTTGCCTTTATGTTTTTCTTATTGTAAGTTCTTTATTCAGCCAGCGCTTTGCTTTCTACCAGGCACTGGAACATGAAATTGAGATATATCAGAATTTAGTAACGGAACTGGGTGAAACTGCCCAAACTCTGTCCCAGTCAGGCTTCATCCAGTACGACGAAGTTGATGCACCTCAAGAACAGATCCACTCCCAACTTCAGGAGATGCAAGATCTGGCTGTAGCAAGGTAGGAAAGCCAATTGTTTCAGCTAGCATTTTCTTCCGAGTCTTTACTGGATTGTGGGTTCCAAACAAACCATGTGCAAATCTTTGGTAGACTCGGTATTCAAATGGCTTTGGATTTTGCATCAATCAGGGATGGTCAAGCTTTCTTTCTGACGAAAAGTAAAATGAAATAATATATATTTCAGAGGGGGCCTGAAGGTGTGACCAAGGGCCTGCAGAGCCACAACAGTGGTGTTGGGGGCTGCATGCATTCCAAGGGCTGTCTGATTCCCACCCTGAGCGTAGACAGAGTTGTGCGTTCCCTGCTTCTCAAAACAATGGGAAATTTCTGGGGTAAGGCTATTTTGGAAGAGGCAGCACTAGAGATTTACTTTATTTCCTTTCATGAAAGAACTTCAAAGAACATAATTTGCATCACTATTTTATTTACAAACAGGGCATTATATAAGGGGACAAAAAGAAGCAGGCTCTCCAAGCAGACCCTCTGCTGTTATGTGCCATAGAGGTCGCTTTTTGTCAACTCCTCTCTTTCAACAGGAGGAAAAAACTGGAGGAGACTCTTGCCTTGCATGAATTCCTGAGAGACTGTGAAGATCTAGAGGACTGGATCAACCACCAGAAGCAAGTGGTCTGTTCCGATGGCTCTGGGACTGATTATGAGCATGTCTTGGTAGGTTACACATTGAAATAGAAGGAAATAAAGTTTGTGATAGGAATGTATCTGTATTGCCTGAGAGAGCAAAATACAGCCCAGAGGGCAACAAATGCCAGCACCACCACCCCTGGGCTCAAAGATGCTCTCCAGATCACTGCCTCCATTGAATAAAAAGAGCAAGGCTGGACTTGATGATCCATAGGGTCTTTTCCAGCCTGCAGTTCTAAGATTATAATGAATCTCTGGAACATACCCTTAACGCCAAAGTTCCCACATGTTTCCTTCCTTCACCTTTTCTCCTGTTATTTTCTTTAAAAGCATCTTTGTGCCAAATATGAGACATTCCAGCACCAGATAAAAGTTGCTGCCCAGCGAGTTGCCGTGTGCCATCAGCTTGCAGAGGACATGTTGGATCGAGGGCACTATGAATCCAGGGAGATTCGGAAGAAGCAGAAACAGTTGCGGTAAGTAAAGGAAGCCCAAGCCTTCTGTCCTCTAGGTCTTTTTCTCCATAGTGAGGGGCCCAGGTAGAATTTGAATAAGTGTGAAATAGCCACAGTCAAATAACTGATCATTACAAAACGTACAGGCATGATCACAAAGACCAAACTCTTTCTGAAATGATCTTATTTATGGGTTCTTCATCACACAGGGCAGCCAGCGGAAGCCATTCCAGTGACATCTTCTGGCTGATTTTTCAGTAATAGCAATCTTTCATTTAATGGCTGACCATCACATGTCCACCTCTAAACAATCCCAGCATCTACCCTTTGTACATATATGTACAAAAAGTCATATATCTATGTCTTGCCAATAAGCACTTGTCACGATCCCCACATGGCCCCTTCTTGTTTCACCGCTGTGTGTCTTTCAGATGCCACCAGTTGATTACATCAACATTACCTATTACAGTATTAATAATCAAGGTCCAGGCCTTATGTCATTTCAAAAGAACCAAATAGAAATTGTTCATTGTTATAGATGTTGACAGGACAAGCAATGTTGTTAACTCTTAAACAAACATCATACTTTATCCACTCCCAACCACCACTCTCCTGCCCAAACTCCCAAAAGTCTTCAACTCTCCCTTTCAATCTCAAAACTCCCTATCTATCTTCCCCTCCTCCTGCTGTGTCTCTCATATCTCGTGACTCCGCTCCTCCAGCACTCCCATTGGTCTATGCAGATAACATATGAATATTCATGACCTGGGCAGATGCCACAGCACTTCTTAGTGGACAGCACCTTGACTCCAGGAGTAGCTTTTTAAACCTGCTTTGGTGTGTGTGGTCCTATTATATACAAAGGCAATATGTAACTCCTCAGACATTGCCAGACTAAAAACTCACATCATCCTCCAGCTTTGTTTGTCCAGCTAGGCTGAGAAGTTGCACTTCCCCCAATATCTGGGGGACACAGATCTTCAGTCTTGATTGTATGGCTTAAACCGGCCTTTGCCCAACCCAATAGGTGTGGTTCACTTAACTCTGTGCCTCAGCTGAAATGGGATGATGGGAGCTGTAGTCTAGTACATTTGGAACATGCTGGGTTGGGTAGTGTGACCTAGAAACAAAACATGGCTAGTTAGGGATATGGCTACAATTGTTTTGGCTAATGGTCACCTTGAACGGGTTGAGACCATCTATCTCATAGCTTACTAATAAGCTATGAGATATGCCTCCCTGTTAAGAATTAAAGTAATTATATTTATCTTATCTATTTTGTGTATTTATTTTTGTGATCTTCATATAAATATATGAATATTAATTAAGCAAATAATGAAAATAAATAAGATAAATATAATTGCATTACTTTAATATAAATAGGTAAAGGTAAAGGTTCCCCTTGACGTTTTAGTCAGTCGTGTTCGACTCTAGGGGGCAGTGCTCATCCCCGTAGAGCCAGTGTTTGTCCGAAGACAGTTTCCGTTGTCACGTGGCCAGCGC